GTCCAAAATTGCTTCTTTTTCAAGGAGATTTGCAGAAAAGACTCTGACAAGTGTCCTTGAATACAGTTTTTTGATAACTTTAACATTGTACCATTGGACTGCCTAGGAATTTCCAAAACTTTAATGAAGAGACTGATAGCTTCCTGAAGCTGCTAACCAAGATCAAGCAGGGAAAAAAATTAATTACATGGGACAAAATGAACTAACGAGCACACTTTTTAAATGACTTTTTATTTGGAATTTTGCTCGTTCTTTAAATGTTTTGTTTACCAGATTTAAGGAAACCTTTTTTCTTTTCAGCTATTTATACCTTACAGCTATCTGGTAAAGTACACTTTGGGAATAAATATAAAATCATTTACTTTTCCTCCCTACTTGGTCCCTCCCCAGAATTAGGAAACTATTCTGAAGTATTCATATTTTATGGTAATATACTTATTTACATACATTCAATATGAATCTGCTCTCTTTGTAACAGGATACATTTGAAAATATTGGTTTAAGGCACCAAGACTTTGACTGGGATGTCGTAACTAGAATGTGCCTAGAATGCACCCATAGGCGCTGCACGCAAAGTCTAAAGTCTGCCTAGTTTGGCTTCCTAGTCTTCATAGGATTTTCAAAAGTTTACTCTGAGACATCTATCAAAAGTTCCAGCGAAGCAAACTTGAAAAGAACCTATATGGTCAGTGGCTATTCTTGCTCCATTTACATAATAACCAGGCAAGTCAATGAGACTAAACCTATTTTTCAAACAAATTAGGCTTACTCTGATTACCTCTGGTAAAATAGAGGTGACCATACAGAGAAAAATTATGTTTCAAAACAAAAATTACAGTACAACTCTTATTCAATTATAGCTCTGTTCATTGTTTTTGAGTTTTTATTATCTACCTGTAGACTGGATCCTGAACTCTTCTAGTTCCTCCAATCTAATTTTCTCTCATGGCATCAGTAAGAACAAGAACTGCCGTGTTCCTGAAGCCCTAGAGATCAGAGCTGGACAGCTCAGTGTAAATTTCCAGGCACAACTTTTGCGCGTGGTGTGTGGGCAACTCAGAAAGATCACAGAATATGCAATACCATAACTAGAGACACACAACATGCAAGCCAGGACAAGAATCAATGACTTCACACTGTGGACACAAGATTCCCCGTGATAATGATACTGTTACTACTCTTAATATTTCCCTGCTCATGCCCACCTCTTTCATTGGGCAAGATAACACTGAAATTATAATTTCATAACCAGTAGCTTGTGCAGGTCACTTGGGGGAGTCTTGGATCTGTCATGTCATCATGGCAAACCCAAATCTTTACATGGCCTAAGCGATCCTCTATTCCACTTAGCAAGCAACCTTAGCAGCATCCCTAACACAGCTGCTTATTCAAATTGAACTAGGGGGCCCTGTTGCAGTCAGACTTCTAGACCTACTTGTTTTCCCTGTTTTAACTTAACGCAGCCACGAGATGCTACATGATAGAGCTGTTACCTACTAGCTAAACTGACAGGGGTCTGTGCGGCTCCCTACATTTCTTGATACACATCAGGTATTAAAGAGATTCAACTGCAAAAATTAACAAACGTGCTACTTGGTTAAAATGGGTAGACCCCTCATCTGGAGGGTTCTTTGATCTATTGTCCTTTAGTTGGTTTGGCTCACAGGGATCCTGCCTAAGGAGTATCCTCCAAACTCTTGGTGTCACCCTCCTGATGGTTGTAATAGTCTTCTCCCTGTTGTGTTGTATTCTCTAAAGGTTTTACATGTTCACATGCAGCCATCCTTCAAAGATCAAGTGTTCTCTCTTCGGCCGGAACAACAGAAACTCAAGGAAATGTGTGACTGGGAGGACACCATAACCGACCAAGGATGCCTTGTTACTGGGATCCCAAAGTGAGGACAACTGAGAGTAGCCCCACTGCCTTATGTTTTGGTCACACTCTCTCCTCCGTGAGAGCCTACTGGCTCCAAAACAGAGTCACTCATGCTAAATGCCACGTACTCAAACTGAAACTCAAGGAAACAGAAAGAACCAAAAACAGAGAGCAGTTTTTCCTAAAAAGAGGAGATTCCAGTCTGAATCAGCATAATCGGGCAGATCCCTTTGCTTTCACTCTTACCAATAAGGAACCTGAAGTAACTTGATTTTAACAATGAGTTTTCTCTTGTTCTGTTTCTTCCCTCTCAGTTCATAAAACCTGCTGTTCTGCTATTGTGTTCTCCAGTGGGAGCTATGATTGTAACTTCTGCAATAGAAGCTGCCCCACTCATGAATCACAACTAAAAGCCAATCACCTTGATAATTAAAATTGTTGCAATTTTTTCTTTAGACACATCTTCAAAGCCAGTGAAGGCTAGTGGAGTCCTTGTCACTTCACATGATCCTGACCCTGGCTCTCCTACCTCCCTCTTTCACTTACCAGTATCCTTCTGATTTCAGGGGGTCACCCAGACAATCCAGAATCATCTTCCCATCTCAGGATCCTTAAGTTCATCACATCTGTAAAATTGTTTTTACCAAATAAAGTAACATCCAAGGACGTGGATGTTTGCAAATGCAGACCTGATTGGTGCAAAGCAGGAGCACGAACCTGCTGGAATCTGGCCTCACGGACCTCATGTGTTGGGCAGATGGGATAGGAATATGACAAGTCAAATTTCTTCCATATCTCAAGAGTACTATTAATACTAAGGATCTAAGACCAATTGCTGGGAGCAACATTTCTCTAGAGAGCACAATGAGGTCTTGGAGCAAGCTCTGAAGTCCAGCAGGTCACATTACGCTCCAAGGAAGATGCTGAAGGTGCTCTGGAATCAGTGACTCCCTGGGTAGAGAGAGACGCTTGAGTCATCAGGAGGACAGAAATGGTCAGAGGGAAGTCTGAGGTGTCTCAACAATAATAAGAAGAGAAAGATTCCAAATCAGGAGAAGTGATATATGTGATGTTAGTAAATTTAGAAAGAACCCCATGTCCCTAATTCCTGTGGAGACTTATGCAAAAATGGGGAGGAGCCTGACAAGGCTTGTGAAATGCTTTCTTTCTTATTTCATCCTTCTTCAGTCTTTCTCTTTACACCTTGCAAACAAAAAGGGTACAGAGACAAAAATTATGACCTACGCCACAAGAGGGGATTCCTTTAGCAAGATGAAAGCTTTCCTTAAACAAGATAAGTGCTTTCGGCCAGGTGTGGTGACTCACTTCTGTAATACTAGCACTCTGGGAGGCTGAGGCGGGAGGATCACCCAAGGTCAGGAGTTCCAAACCAGCCTGAGCAAGAGTGAGATCTCCGTCTCTACAAAAAATAGAAAGAAATTAATTGGCCATCTAAAAAAAATATATAAAATATATAGAAAAACTGAGCCAGGCATGTCTCTTGTCCCAGCTACCCGGGAAGCTGAGGCAGAAGGATCACTTGAGCCCAGGAGTTTAAGGTTGCTGTGAGCTAGGCTCACTACCCCACTATAGCCCAGGCAACAGAGTGAGACATTGTCTTGGAAACAACAACAACAAAACCTACAGTAATAGAATATTGGGGAGGGGGGAGAGAGGGGGGCGGGTATATACATACATAATGAGTGACATGTGCACCACCTGAGGGATGGTCATGCTGGAAAATCAGACTTGTGGGGGGAGGGGGAAAAGGGCATTTATTGAAACCTTAAAATCTGTGCCCCCATAATATGCCGAAATTAAAAAAAAAAAAATGAGTGCTTTCCTTGGGCAAGATCAATGCTTTTTGCAAGGCACCCTGAATCCTGTTTCTAGGCTTGGCTTTCCACAAAACTATTTGACTCAAGAACACATTCCTTGACACCCCAGCCCCCAGGAGACAATAACTGTGACAGAAGCCACACCCACTCTGGATATTCCTGCTGTTTGGTAAAGGTATTTTCCAGAAAGTTGTGCATGAGCTCCTGCTCCCTAATCCTTCCACTTCTGGAAGTTAAGCCTCCCCCTTAACCATTTTCATCTCCTGCTGTCCTGCCAGGGGCTAGAAAAGAAAACACCCCCCACCCTAGATGACCAGGGTGGCCCCTACTCCCTTAACTACGATAGCTCACACTGACTCAGCACTCACTGTGTGCCAGGCACGACCCTATGGGCTTTTCTTGTAGTTACAATCCTCACCAAAAATCCTGTGAGCAAAATCATACCTATTTTTATAAATTAAAAAAATCCAAGGGAGTGAAGTTAACTAATGTACCTAATGTGGCCCAAGTCTGCGATTTAACCTCATCCCCCACCCTATCTGGGCAGAGGATGCCCTAAGGCAGGTGTCCTCAAACTTTTTAAACAGAGAGCCAGTTCACTGTCCGTCAAACCATTGGAGGGTCAGACTAGTCAAAAAAAAATATGAACAAATTCCTATGCACCCTGCATATATCTTATTTTGGAGTAAAAAACTAAACCGGGGAAAAACACCCACATATGGCCTGAGAGCCATAGTTTGACAATGCTGGCCCTAAGGTTTCTGAGGTCTCCTGAATGGCATCCACCTTCCAGAATGACTTTTGACAAAACAGCACTTTTTTTGCTGTCTGGCTGTTCACCTGTGCACCTGTTCACTAACACCACACTCACAACTCCACAGCCCTCCCTAAAAGCTTCATTTTATGAATCTCAGTATCTGGGGAAAAAGCAGAACCAGCTGTTCAGTCTTATAATAAGTCACTTTTACTCAATTATCAAAGATTTGCAAAGCCATTCTCTGGTCATAAATGGGGTGCACCAGGGAAAGAAAGTATAATGAGAAAGATTTATGAGGAGGGCGAGTCCCTCGAATGGTCACAAGGGGAGAAGATTCTAAGTCCAGAAACAGGCATAAAAGACACCCAGAGTTTGTGGCCTTTGAACAACTGCAGTGCCACCTTTCTCTTTCCATGCCTGCTGGCACCTGACTGCCTTCTCACCCTGCCTCTCCTGGCCTTGCCGTTCAGACCAACACTAGAGGACTGGGAGCTGGGGCCAGACCAGAGCACCCAGCACTGAGCTATGGGGGGTGGAAGAGGCAGAAACGAGAGATGACTGCTCCACTCATAGAGGACCTGGCTCACCTAGGTACACATCACCTGGGCAGGGAATGGATCAGTGAAGGGTTATGCAGGACTCACAGCTTTAGGGACTTGCACTAAGGAGTTCTGCTGCCTTGGTGCTGTCTGAGAGCAAAGTGGTGGGTGTGGAAGACATCACAGCTTTCTCCCATTTAGAAACCCATTGTCCCTCCCTTCCCACTCAGTTGGGTTACCTTTCTCTGCCCACTTATTTACTGAGTTCTGTTCCAAAAGAAAAACTTTTCAGTTGAATCCCCTAAAGTCCCAAGCATTCAGTTCAGTTCAAGAATGTTCATCATCTTAGTGATAGCCAGGAGCAAATATTTTTAAAAGGCTCTGCAGGAACTTCTGATAAGAGCTTTTGCACCACCCACAATACCTTTGTGAACCACCAAGCCATAAAATTGAAGAAGTCTCCTGCTATGTGCAGGGGACCTTTATGTTTGCACTTCATCTACTACTCACAATGACCTTTATTGCAATAGGTATGATTATCCCTCTATTCCAAGATATCAAACAACTTGTCACTTTTCTCAGAACTGCTAATAGATGGAACCAGGATTCAGACCCACATATTTCTGAATCTAAAGCTCATATTTCACTCCACACCATTGTAACTACCAGAATTCAAAGACGGGAAAGGTGACTGCTTCTGACAACAACAACGAAAATCGTGCAGGGCTTCAGTGAAGAGACAGGATCTGCAATGGGCCTCAGGATGAAGAACAGGTCAGGAGTGGGAAGGCAAGGGTATTACTAAAAGAGGGAAAGAATGAGAATGAGTTCAGACTTGATAAAGTGAGTTTCGGATCAGGTCCTTCTGCATAGCTCCAAGGAGTAGATTGGGGCTACACTATGGGGGCTTTGAGTGGCAGCCTAAGTAATTTGATCTTTATCTTATCGATGATAGGAATTAGTGGAAAGCTTTCAGTCACATTACAGAAAAGCATTTTCAGGAAGATTGTTCTCATAGTATTAGGCAAGAGACTTAAGGAGGCAGTTTTCACCTTTGGGACTTCCTATAGCTGGCTGGCTTTTTTTTTTTCTTTTTTCTTTTTTTTTTGATTTCATTTTTTCCTTTCTGTTCTGTTCGTAGTTAGTGTGCGTCCGCACTTTTTTTTTACTTCCCTTCCATATTTATTTTCTTTTTAGGTAGCGTGCGTCCCTCCCTCTCAATCAATTATTTCTGGTTTGTCTCGCCTAATTAATTCACAGAGCGTGTTTGTTTTCCTTCTATCTTTCTTCCGATGTCTTTTGTTTGTCTGGGTCCGGACTGTATGTTGGCTCATTCCTTTTATTTCTTTTTTTTGTTTCGTTTGTTTTCTGTTGGGTTGGCTGGTTCGTCTTTCTTTTTTTTTTCTTTCTTTCCCTGTTTGTTGTGTAGTGTCCTGTTCTTTTGTTTTGTGCTGTTCCTTTTGGTTTTGTTTTATCTTTTCTTTTGTTTTGATTCGGGTTGGGCTGTTTGGTTTGGGCCGGCAGCACAGAAGCTGTGCTTGCTTTTTCCGTGCTTTTTGGTGGGCGGCGCTGTGTGTGGCTCTGTTTGCTGGTTTGTTTGTTTTGTTTGCTCGCTTGGCTTCCTTCCTTGTGTGTTGACTGTTTGTTTCGCTAGCATTCCTTCCTGACTCATGCCTGGGTGGGTTCCTTGATCGATCAATTCACTCTGTCTTTCTTTCAGTCATGGGTTTTGTTTGGTTTTTTTTGTTGTCAGGGGCCGGTGGCTGTGGTTTGTACTTGTGGTCCTTTCTCTTTTGGGGGCGGATGCTGGCTTGTGCTTTGCGGTTCGATGTTCGCGTGTGGCCTTGTGAGTCGTGGTCTCTTTTCTCTATTTTAATTTTTAGCTGGTGGCTTGGTGTGGGGTGCCTGTCTTTCGTGCTAGTTCCTCGGGTGGCTGAGGCGGGCTGTTTGCTTGCGGGCGTTTGTTTTTGGTTTGTGTTAGGTTGGTTGCTTGGATGTCTCTGTTGGGTGGGCGACTGAGTGCGTGTCTGTCTAAAATGTGTGTGAGTGTATGTGTGTGTATGTGTGTGTGTGTGTGTGTGTGTGTGTGCCCTATAGGTCATCCTAACCAATATTCAAGGTTGGAAATCAATAGCTTAGGCACTGAAGATTAGAATTCTAGAAGTCAGCTAGGAAGCCATTCTTTGGGCCTCTCTTTTTAAAAGAACATCCAATTCCAGAAACAGATAAATATATCTGGACTTTGTCATGGACTCACAGCAAGGAAATGGGAAGGCCCAAATCCCCTGATTGAGAAAGTGATGGGTGAGTAGACTGCTGTTCTCCAGACCTTAGAGAAACCTTTGCTGCAGTGAAAGCACAAACAATGTGATTTTACTGTCATAAGCCAGACGTGAGCTCCTAATTGCTCTGGCAAGAGGGATGATGAACCATGTGATATAAACATATGACCACACATGCAAAGTTGCACACCTCTGGGTACACTGAATTAACAACTCACAGAAGTCAGGCTAGAGGTAGCTGACCCTTCCCATTAATTAGCCGTGTCGTCCTCACTTGGTCTTTTGTCCTTAATCTCATCTGAAGTAAGAAACTAAAGATCCTGGCGTAAATTTCATGAAATAGGAAAGTGTACACATCTCCTGCTACTGGGCTGTTGAAGCAATAGGACACTGTGCTCAACTTCCTTAGAGTCATTATCCTGGGTTTGCATAAAGCAATTTCATCAATCCCTGTCTTAGAGAGACTGTCTAATAACATAAAAAGGAAACACCAATTTAACCAAATTCCAAAGGCAGGAAGAACCCGGACAGCAGCAATCTCTAAAGTCTCACAAGACCACCAGGGTCTAGATGGCTGGTGCAGGAATTGTTGCTAGTCAATAGCTGAGAAAAACACAAGATAGTTTCCACACTCAGGAAGCACTAACAGAAGAATTAACTCAATTACCCCTCAGTTATCACACAGCCAATATCCTTCAAGCCACCCTAGGGTGTCTCACTGATAGGGCTAGCACACGACTAAATGCTAACACATGGGTGAGATGATTTATGGAAGGGTGGGAACAACTGGTCCGGAATGGCTAGGAAAGTTTCCATGAAAGAGGCAGGATTCAGGTCAGGCCCTGATTGGTTAAGCATCAGGGAAGCAGAAACAAGGAGAAGTATGAGCCCAGGGAGCCAGATTCAGGCACCACTGTATATACTAGGTTTGAAGAGGCCCTCATGAAGGAGAGTGGGTTTCCGTGGTATTTTATTCATTCCTACCCACCAACATACAGGTTATTCAGAGGAGGAAGCTGATCCTCAGAAAGGTGAAGGAAACTGCCAAGGCTGGCGGTGGGTCTGGAATGAGAAACTGAGGCAGTCTAGCCCCAGAGCCCGTCCCAGCACTACCAACCCTGAGAGAGACCAGAATGTAGCACATTTAGGGGACAGGATGGAAAAGGGAGAGAGAGCTGTGGCAGAAAGAGAGGATTGAAAAATAGGGAAGATAAGTAAGCTTGCCAAAAGGGGCCATACATTTTGTAGCCACGAACGCTAGATGGCAACATTTGAACTTGATCCTGAGATTACAGAAGAGCCACTGAAGATTTTCAGTAATGGACTAACCAAAGTGACAACTTAAGCAAGGCCAGGAGGATGGTGAAAACAGGGTCCTTGATTCCCAAGCTAAAGAGATGCTACTCACAACAGCAAAGGAGGCCACATGACGCAGTGAAGAGAGAAGTGGACGAAGAGGCCATAGCCCTGAGTTTAAATGCAAACTAAGGATCTGGATCTGTTAGGCAAGTTATATGCTCTGCCTGGGCTTCCGTCTCTCTCCAGCCAGAAATCAGGAGCAGGGAGAATTAACCCAAGTGATCCTAAAGTCTTGCAACTCAAAGTGTGGTTCCCAGCCAGCAGCAACGGCATCATCCAAACACCCACCAGAAACGCAGATTTTCTAGTCCTGTTGGAACAATCAGGATCTGTATTTAAGCACTAGCTTTGGATGATGTATAAGCACGTTAGAGTTTGTGAAGCACTTCTGTAAAGTGTCTTCCAGGTCTTTTATTTCACACTCACTTCAACTCTGTCACTTCACTGGACAAAGAAGAAAATAAGTCTACAACTCCTTTGTGCCTTTTTTTTTCCCTTACAGGTTCTCCCACACTTGCCTACATCCAGGTACAGGTTTTGGGAACACCGGTGGGACGGTGCCGCCACCGTGTGGCTGTGGTCAGTAAATGCATGAACCTCTCAGTCTCATGACTGCAGGGGCCTTGTTAAGGGCTCACGAAAAGATCCCTCAATTTGACAAACACTTATAGAGTACTCCCAAAGTGTCAGGCACTGCATAAGTTCAGGAAATACAAAAACAAAGAATAAACAGCCTCTACCCTCAAAGACCCTGATGTTCGGCACGTCCCCCAGCCTGGAGCCGCCCAGGCGACAACCTCCCTCAGCCCAAGGGGGTCTGACCCTCACAGGCTGTGCCTCAGCACACGGTGCTCCTCGCTGTCCAAGCTCCCACACCTCTCTGTCAACTCCTCCACCACCAGGCGTCCCCACCTGAAGGCGGCTCCCCCTGCAGGCATCTCCTGCCCTGAGCACCCGCATCCTCCCCAACAGGGCACTTACCCTCATGACCTTCTCTCCAGCGCCATCACCTATTTCTGTTCCTGCTCACTAAATGCCCCCCGGTTCCGCCTGTCCTGTTCCCTGGGGAGTCAGGGCCCAGCCTGGAGCCGACAGGGCAGAGGGGCTCCTTATGGTGAAAGCAGATGGACCAGACACAGGGTGACCGGCCCCGCAGTGTGCGACACAGGGCACAGGCACCGCGGAGGGTGTGACCACCTGACCCTGCTCTCTGGCACATGTGGGGCCTCCACCCCGCCTGACTGGGGAGGGAGGACAGAGCTCGACAGGTGGACAGGGGTGAGGGAGGAGCCCCATCCGCTCCCAGAACACGGCCCACAGCCACTGCCCCCTGAGTTGTAGCAACTTTCCCCCCTCACAGGGGCTCTCTGGCCACTGCCTGTCCTTCCTCTGCACTGAGGGCTTCACCAGACCCCCAAACCCTCGAGGCCAGACCCCAGGTGAGTCAGCACCAGGAGGCTGAGCCCATCCTGGCCCCGGAGGCAGTCAGGAGTCAGCACGGGTGTATCCAGGTCTGAGTCTCTGGTGTGCCCCGCCCGCCCCTCCTGGGTCTCAGAGCCACATCCTATGGGGTCCCTGGGCAGCTGCACCACCCATGGGAAGGCAGGCTCACCACAGGACAGTCAGCAGCACAAAAGGCAGAGGCCACACAGGATAGTCAGAGACAACCTGGATGGGCCCTGTGTCACGGAATCAGCTACCAGACCCCAGGGAGCCAGACAGTGCCTGAGACCTGTCCCTGGTGACCACAGGGCCCACAGACCTCAGCGGACCAGCCAGGACAGGCCTCTCCCCACAGGACAAATGAGAACCTCACCCTGCACACCTCCAGGAGGGACAGTTCCCTCTGGGACACCTGGGTCCTTTATTCTTTGCACTCGCTTGCTTTTTTCTCATCATCCACTCAACATTTTCCACACTTGACATCCGAGGGCAAAGGGTTAAGATGTGTCCAACTGAAACCAATGAGTCATCACTCAGCTGGCCCGATGCACAGCCTCTGTGTCTGTGTGCATATCTGAGATGTTTGGTTGTACCTGTGTCTGTCTGCGTATATATCTGTATCTGTGTGTGTGTGTCTTTATTCGTGTGTGTGTGTGTGTGTGTGTGTGTGTGTGTGTGTGTATGTAGGTTGAGGTGAGAGAATTCTTGCTAAAAAAGGCAAATATCTCAATGGTTTTCAGGGCCCTGAAATGTGGACAGAAGAAAAGGGGAAGGAGGGACAAGGAGGCAGGACTGAGAGGGGAGGGGTCAAGGAGTTGTCCTGGGCACAGACCCCGCCCCAGACCCCTGACCCTGAGACAGGCTCCTGCCCCAGGGGGAGGCTCAGCACAGAGGGAGGAAGGACAGCAGAGGTGACAAGTCAGACCAGTCTAGCTCACGAGTATTCCTGGAGCTGAAGCTCTTCTGCACAGAGGACAGAATAGGCAGCAGGGACCATGGAGCCCCCCTCAGCCCCTGCCCATAGAGGGCGAGTCCCCTGGCAGGGGCTCCTGCTCACAGGTGAGAGGGATGATTTCCTGGGGGCGGGGAGGAGGGAGCACAGACACTGGCTGGGGTCTCCTGGGGCGGACAGTTCTATGAGAGGGACAGAGGACTTTTGTTGGAGCCTTAAGAACAGAGAGGATAACAAAGAGGCAGAGGAGGTCACAAGAGGAAAGTCACATTGAACTGGAATTGGAAAGAGGCAGGACAGTCTCAATTGCTCTGTGTTCTCCAGGTTCATCATCAAAGGTCACTACATTTTGAAAATGGTAATAACTATATCAGAGTGCTGCTTCAAATAAACATAAGCAGGAGCACTAACATGGCCCTTACCCACCAGAGTCAGATATTATCTTTATGTTCATTGTACAATGAACAGCAGCACATGGAGCACTCTAGGAACACTCATTCACTCACCCACAGGTGTCCGCAGCCTGTCCCAGGCTCTGGAGCACAACAAAGGTCAGACACGTCCCTGCCCTCACAGAGCTCACGTCCTAGTGGGAGGAAGACAGACAAGTAGAGAGATCTCAAATATGAGGTCAACTGTGGACAAGAGCCACAGAGAAAACTGGCAGGGAAAGGTCAGGAAGGGAAGACCCAGGGGCCCTAGAGGAGGTGGCCAGAGAGGGTCCCTCCCAAGGACGCCCCTGAGTGTGAGCAGGGATCTGAGGGCAGTGGGGGGTGAGCCGTGCAGACACCTGGGAAGAGGATTCCAAGCAGGAGCATGGCCAGTCTGAGGTGCTGGAGTGATGGCGGTCACACTGCTGACCCTGAACCAGAGCACACACTCACACTCACACACACTCGCACACTGACACACACACATTCACACACACATCTTCATCCCCCAAGGCTGAGGGTGAAGAGACCTCCTCAGGACCCAGGGCTCATCTTTCCATCCTAATTCCAAGGTCCCAATATGGATTGATTCTCTCTCCTCCCTCCTAGTCTCACTTTTAACCTTCTGGAACCCGCCCGCCACTGCCCAAGTCTCTGTGGAATCCGTGCCGCTCAATGCTATGAGGGGGAAGGACGTTCGTCTACTCGTCCACAATGGGCCACAGGATGCTTTTGTTTACAACTGGTACAAAGGGGACAAGGTGGGCAGCCGCTATCGAATTGCATCATATATAGTAGGCGCTAAAGGAAATACTCAAGGGCCTGCATACAGTGGTCGGGAGATAATTTTCCACAATGGATCCCTGCTGTTCCAGAACGTCACCCTGAAAGACACAGGGTACTACACCGTACAAGTTATGAGGACAAATCTTCAGAATGAAGAAGTAACTGGACAGTTCCGTGTGTACTGTGAGTGATTCCCTGCGACTTCTGGGTGTTCGGTGGTGGGGGGATAGTTCTATTTCACACACATGGACTTGTCAGGCCTAGACGGTGCCTGCCTCCCCCTCTGTGTCATGTCCCATGTTGGGCTTTGGGCACTTAGTGCAAGACACACACAGGGGAGACAAACGTCAGAAGATCAGAATCCTTTCTGCGTCCAGACCCTGCAGACATTCCCTTCAGGGAAAGGACCAGTGTGACAGGTAACTCAGCAGGGAATCAGTCTTCCTTCAGCACCCTGTGCCCTCCCCATGGACATGGCCCTGACAAGGACCCCACAGGATCCGGTCACGTCCCTATCCTCAATTCCAGGGGCCTTATTAGGCATCAGGGGACCCCAACAACAGTTGTGGGATCAGCTGCATCTGCAGCTCAGAGGGGAGATTCCGGTCTGGGGAGTGAGAAGCAAATGGAGAATTAGTCAGTTTCACTCTAGAACTAAATCACCTGCCTCAACAAGCAGAGTCAGCGTCAGGAATGCCCAGGCCTCCCCTCAGCCACACCCCCCCACTGGACTCTAAACCAGGTGCTTCCTGCTGTGTCCCTGTCACTGCCATGGAAGGTACAGGAAACGACGTGGCTTTGTCTCTCCACACTCACACTCTGCACTGGAACAGGGTCCGACATGTGATACACTGTCAGTAATTTTCTGATCAAGGAGGGAGGGAAAGAATGACTAAATGAGTGAATGATTCATTATCTCTTCAGAGACAGGATCCTAGATGCAGAATCCTAGGAAGTCTCACCATGCCTATTCCCTGTCCATCAGGTGCTGAAACCCAAGCTCCATCCCTCTGATCCCTGCCCCTAAAGACACCAGAAACCCCTCTCCAGTGATTCTGGGGCTTCCCAGCCTTGGAGAGTTTCAGGGCTCCCTGGTCCTGGTCCTGGTATCTCTGAAGTCCCTGGAACCCCCATGATCACAGCCATGGTGTGTCTGGCTCTTTCTGCTCTTCCATGTCCCTCATCTTCCTCCCTATTCCAGACAGGACTATGCCTGCCCTGCACAGCTTCCTCCACAATTAAGCTTTCGCCTGACACTCCCACTAACAACAGCTGCCTGTCCCAGTCCCTTTGTACTAACATTGTGGCCAGGCCCATCTCATAGGAAATAGTAAAGGCACAAAAATTATAGCAGCCACCCCTGCCAGGCTCCCTCACAAGCCAATGTCCCTGGGTCACTAAGAGAATGTGTGTTCCACTGTGTCCCCACCCACGGCTCTTTCCTTGTGAGGCAAAAAGTGGGACAGAGCATGGGACAAAGATCGGTGACCCCTCCATCTACTGTCAACACTGCCTCACCGGGGGAGAGAGGAGAAGTACTGGTCTGCAACCTCAAAGCCACAAGCTCATTTCACTCACTGACTACTGACTCCAGCCCCGTCCTGGCCTGGGGCTCACGTCCTCCATGGTTCCTGGGACCTTCCCAGGTGGAGCTGGCCAGACCAGTGCTATCTGAGGCGAGACAGCCTGCTCCACAGGCCCTTTTTTCCTTCTTGTTGCCCCGGTTCCCTTAAGTTGGGTTCCTTCGGCGGTTGGGTTGCCGGGGCCGGGTTTCTTCCTTTGGCTTTTGCCCGTTTTGCCGACTTTTCTTCAACCCTTGTTTTTTTCCAGGGTTCAAAAAAAGGAAGGAAGCGTTTGGGCTTGGTTGTTGGGGTCTTTCCTCTTTTGCCTGTGTGTGGCCGGGGTTTGCGGATTTGTCGCTGTTTGTAGTTTTCTTCCCGTCTGAGCCATCGCTCTACTTTGTTTTTTTTCTCTTTCTATTGGTGTTGATTGGCCTCCTACTTTTTATTGACCAGTTTTGTCTTGGTATTGTGGTTTGTGTGTGTCTTTCTAGCTAGTGACTCACTCATTCCGAACCGACCTCAGCATCTTCCTTTGAGCGTAATGTGATATGGAAGAAACTTAACTTCTCATATTCCTATCCCATCTGCCCAGCACATGAGGTCCATGAGGCCACATTCCAGCGTGTTCATGCTACCCCACTTTGCACCAGTCAGCTCTCCTTTGCTAACATCCACGTGTATTTCTGGAAAGATCCACATGGTCCTCACCTGGCTTGTGCAGATGGAGAAGGGACATTAAAGACCAAGGGTAGGGGACCACAGGTCTTCTTCCAAGCCACTAGCTCCTATCTGTCCCCTCACTGTTTTCCAGATCATTCCTTGGACTCTGCTCTACCTTTTAGGAGTCACTGGTCATGTCAGTCATCATTCAACTGGGAAACACTGCCCCAACCGTGGCCTCACAGCCTGCCTGCTGAGCTGCTCTCCAGGCTGCCTCCTGCTCTCCCTGAGTTATCTGTGCTCAAACACCCAGTCTCAGGCCAGACTGCCCAGTAACCTCAAAGTCTAGGACAATGGGAAGTCCCCTCAGTACCCATCTCTGGGATAACTGAGGACAGCCTCACAGAAACACACCTAGGGGGGCAAAGTGGGACTATGAAGCTAGAAGGAACCTAACGCCCGCACATTCCAGGTGAGGACCACAGGGTCAGGCAGTCAGGGAAGGACCAGGAGAGGCACCAGGGTGGAGGGGCACTCTGGCTCCAGGTCCTGTGTCTGTCCACCACCCAATGCTGCTGCTCAGGTGAGAAAGTCTGTGCATCTCCCAGACACAGAGCAGGTGGCCTCACGTTCTCTGACCCTCAGATCGTCCTGCGTCTGTCTCGTGACACACACACCTGCCTTGGTCTTTTAATCACTCAGGTTGGCTGAGAGGTGAGAGATGCCAACCCTGATTGAGGGATGATTTTAGAGGAATTAAAGGTAGCACACAGGGCAACCTTCTCTCTGTTATCTGCACAGCGGAGTTACCCAAACCCTCCATCACAAGCAACAGCTCCAGCCCCGTGGAGGATGAGGACTCCGTAGCATTAACCTGTGAACCTGAGACTCAGAACACAACCTACCTGTGGTGGAAAAATGGTCAGAGGCTCCAAGACAGTGACAGGCTGGTGAAGTCCCTGGACAACAGGACGCTCATTTTACTCAGTATCACAAGGAATGACACAGGATCCTATCAGTGTGAAAACAGGAACCCAGTGTTTGGCCACCTCAGTGACCGAATCAACCTGACTGTGCTCTGTGAGTATTTTCTGTTCCTCCACAGCCCAGGCTGCAGCCCAAAGTCACCCGGCCAGAGACAAGGCCATTCTGTCCTTGTCAGGTCCAGGTACACAGACCCTCACCCCTGGACACCCAGGCTGGCCAAGATTCCTGCCCCAGGCAAACCCTGGCAGGCCAGGCCTTGACCAAGGAAAGGAGGGAGGGGCGCTCCTGTCCTGAGATGCTCATGGTCAACAACCTGTGATGACTGAAACAGGTCAGTGTCTCAGACACAGGTTATGGTTAGAACTTTTTTTAAGAGACAGGGTATCACTCTGTTGCCCAAGCTGCACTATACTGCTGGGATCACAGCTCACTATTACCTCGACTCCTGGGCTAAAACAATCCTCCTGCCTCAGCCTCCTGATTAGCTAAAGCTACAGTCATGCACCACCAAGCCCAGTTAGTTTTTTAAATTTTTTGTAGAGATAGGGGTCTTGCTATATTGCCCAGCCTGGTGTTGACCTCCTGGCCTCCCACCGTGGCCTCCAGAAGCACTGGGATTACAGGTGTAAGCCCCACACATGGCTGGGTTCTAACTTTACAAGAATGTGACAGGATATAGACGGTCACTGTGGCCCTTCTACAGACCTGGAACTCCCCTTTCCTCTGATGACATCCCATGTGGCTTTATTCTCTTTGTCCAGATGGCCCCGACGTCCCCACCATTTCCCCTCCAGACTCCTATTACCGTCCAGGGGAAAACATCCACCTGTCTTGCTACGCGGCCTCTAACCCACCTGCAAAATATTACTGGCATATCAATGGGAGTCTCCAGATATCCACCCAACAGCTCTTCCTCCCCAACGTCACTGTGTATTACAGCGGATCCTATGTCTGTATCGCCAACAATGCTGTCACTGGCCATGCCAGTGGCACAGTCCTGAACATCACAGTTTCTGGTAAGTGAATCCCTGGAGGATTGGCATTAAGTTTTGTCATGGATTATGTCTGCTGTTCAGAGAAGAGCCATAAAGAAGTTTTCATCCCCAGCCTGTGTCCTGGGCACAAACAAGTCCCAGGTTCCACCCTGAGCCCTCTCATTCCGTTTCTGCAGACTGTCTCCTCCCCTGGCTTTTCTGATTTCACACACCTGACCTTGGTTCCAGCCTGCAAGTGAGGAGGGGGGTTCCCTCAACCCCAGACAGCCCCATCTAGTGGGAGGGGCTTCACAGAGGGGAGAGGAAGAAGAATCCTCAAGGTCAAGTGGCTTCTCTCTGTCACTAACAAGTCCCTTTCTGTCACATTTTTGTTTTCTTTTACCTACCCCATGAGCTACAAGGAACATAGGAGGTTTCAAAATAGGCTCACATTATTTTTCCCCAAATGAGAATGATGAAACCCCCTCAGAGGAGGCATGAGCATCTCGGAGCTCTGCTCCTTGCTCTGCTGCCCACTTGCCTGGTGGCCGGCTGTGCTGTGACTTCATCCAGGGTGGAAGGGTATTAACAGACAGGGTGAAGGTACCAGCCACTATATAGTATAGATACTGGTGAAATATACATAACAAAATCTACCATTGTAACCATCTTAAGTGGAAAATTCTGTGCTATTAAGTACATTTATAGTTGAGCAACTATCACCACTATCCATTTCCAGAACTTCTTACCAACTAAATTGCTGGTTTCCCACTAAAGATAATTCTCTACTCCTTGTCCCCAGAGTCCCTGGTCCGTATTCTTAATACTTTCTTTTTATTGTAGTCAACTATTTCTATACCTATATAGGCCAGGCACGTGGCTTCAGGCCTTAATCCTAGCCATTCTGGGCGGAGGCCAAGGGGGGCAGATTGCTCGAGTCAGGAGTTCAAAACCAGCCTGAGCAAGAGCCAAACCCAGTCTCTACTATAAATAGAAAGAATTAATTGGCCAACTGATATAATAGAAAAATTACGGCATGGTGCACATGCCTGTATCCCAGCTACTCGGGAGGGCTGAGGCAGGAGGATCGCTTGAGCCCAGGAGTTTGAGGTTGCTGTGAGCTAGGCTGACGCCACGGCACTCACTCTAGCCTGGACAACAGAGTGAGACTCTGTCTCAAAAAAATAAATACCTCATATAAATGGAATCATACAATATTTGTCCTCTTGAGTAAGTCTTATTTTGCTTAGCAGAACGTCTTCAAGGTTCTACTCTGTTGTAGCATGTATCAAAATTATATTCCTTTTTTGGACTGCATAATATTCCATTGTATGCGTATACCTCATTGTGCCTATCTGCTTAACTTTCGATGGACTCTTGAGTTGTTTGCACAATTTGTCTACTGTGAATAATGGTGCTGTGAGCATGGGTGTGCAAATATCTGTTCAAATTCTTACTTTCAATTCTTTTGAGTATTTGGCCAGAACTGGAGTTGCTGGATCACATGATAATTCTTTAATTTTTGAGGAATTGCCACACTACTTTCCACAGTGGCTGGACCATTTTACATTCCCACCAGCAATGCATAAGAGTTCCAACTTTCCCACCTCCTCGAAAACACTTGCCTGAGTTTTCTTTTTTTTATCAAACCCATCCGAATGTATGTGAAGTCATATATCATTGTAATTTTGTTTTTTATTTATTTCAGCATATTATTGGGGTACAAATGTTTAGGTTACATATATTGCCTTTGCCCCACCCAGTCAGAGCTTCAAGCATGTCCATCCCCCTGGCAGTGCACACTGCACCCATTACATTTGTGTGTTATTTTGCTTTGCATCTCCCTAAGTGTTAGTGTGTTGAGCAACTTTTCATGTTTTCATTGGCTATTTGTATATCTCCCTTGAAGAAATGTCTATTTTACTCCTTTGCCCACTTTTAATTGGATTTTTGTTGTTATTGAGCTCTAATACTTCTTTATATATTCTGGAAATTAATCCATTATCAGATATGTGATTTCCATATATTTTTCCCATTCCATGGATGCCTATTCACTTTCTTGCTAGTGTCCCTTCACATACAAACATTTCTAGTCTTCATAAAGTCCAATTTATCGACTTTTGCTTTTGTTGGCTATGCTTTCGGTGTCATAGCCAAGGAATCACTGCCAAACCCAATATCATGAAGCTTCTATGCTATAAGAGTTTCACATGTAAGCCTTTGATATCCTTCTTGAGTTTATTTTTGTATTGGTATTCGGTAACGATTCAACTCATCTCTTTGCATGTATATTCAGTTTTCCCAAAATCATTTGTTGAAAAGACTATCCCTTCCCCATTGAATAGTCTTGGGACCCTTGTCAGAGATCATTTAGCCATATATGCCAGCATTTATTTCTGGGCTTTCTATTCTTTTCCATTGGTTTCTATGTGTGTACCAAACTGTATTGATTTGGCTTTGTAGTAGATTTTGAAATCAGGATGGGAGTCCTCCAGCTATATTCTCCCTTTTCAAGATTGTTTTCACTACTAGAGTCTCTGAGATTCCATATGAATTTTAGTATACATTTTTCTATACATTTCTATACATTTTCTGCAAAAATGTCCCTGGGATTCTGATAGGGATTGCATTGACTCTGCAGATCATTTTGGGTGGTATTGTCATCTGAATAATAAGTCTTCCAACCCATGAAAATAAAATATCTTTCTATCCATTTACATCTTCTTTAATTACTTTTGGCAATGTTTCCTAGTTTTCAGGGTACAATTCCTTCACCTCCTTATTCCTAAGTATTTTCTTCTTTTTTATACTAATGTGAATTGAATATTTTCTTAATTTCATTTCAGAACGCTGATTGTTAATGTATAGAAATACAACTGATGTTTGGATGTTGATTTTGTATCCTGCAGCTTCACTGATTATGTTTATTAGTTCTAACAGCTTTTGAAAAAGTTGTTAGGGTTTTATACATAAATATTTATGACAGCTACAAACAGAGATGATTTTACTTTTTCTTTCCAATGGATGTCCTTGTTTTTGCTTGCCTAATTCTCTAGCTAAGGATTGCAATACTGTTTTGAATAGAAATGGAAAAGCAGGCAGCCTTGTCTTGTTCCTATCATAAAGGAAAAATTGTCAGTCTTTCACCATTGAGTATATGATGTTAGCTTTGGGCTTTTCAGTGTTGCCTTCATTGTGTGGAGGTAGTTGCCCTCTATTTATACATAGTGTGTTTTTACTAGGAAAGAATGTTGAATTTTGTCAAATGCTCTCATTGATAGATTCTCCTTACTAGTTATAGGTCTATTCAGATTTTCTATTTATTCATGATTCTGTCATGCTAGGGTTTGTGTTCCTATAAATTTCTCCATTTCATCTAGTTATCCCATTTGATGGCAAAAATTATTTCTAGTACTCTAATAATGTTTATTATTTATGTTGAATTGGTAGTAATGTCTCCATTTTCATTTCTCATTTTTGTGATTTGAATCTTCTCTATTTTTTTCCTTAGTCAATCTAGTTCAAGATTGTTAATCTTTTTTGAAGAACCAAGTTTTGGTTCTATTGATTTTCTCTATTGTTTTTCTCTTCTGCACTCTAATATTATTTCCTTCACCTGCTATTTTTGAGTTTAGTTTACACTTTTTTGCTGGCGGTTAGGGGACAGATTCTCACACTGTGGTCCTGGGTAAAGTACAGCAGTGTCATCATAGCTGACTGCAACCTCAAACTCCTGAGTTCTTGTAATCCGCCTGCCTCAGGCTCCCCAATAGCTGGGACTACAGGTGCACACCACAACACTCACCTAAGTTTTCTATTTTTGGTAGACATGGGGTCTCACTCCCATTCAGGCTGGTATTGAACTCTTAGGCTCAAGTGATCCTCCCACCTCAGTCTCCACAGTGCTAGGATTACAGGTATGAGCCATGGCAGACAGCCTGTTCTTATTCTATCCCCTTAAGTCATAAAGCTAGGCTGTTGCTTCAGATCTTTTCTCTTTTTTAATGTGCTTACAGCTATAAATTTTTTGCACAAGATTCTTAACTTCTCTGATCCTCAGATTCTTCAACCGAAAATTGCAACAAGAGTATCTGCTTCAGAGTATTGTTTTAAAGATTTAAATATTCATAGTCAATTACCTTTAGCAAAATGGCCCACACAAAGGAAATTTCTATACATATTAGGTGCTATTATCATTAGCCTTGAAGTCAGATGGTCCTAGCTAGAGTCAAATCCCAGATCCACCTTTCACCAGCCATATGACTTTGGGTAAGTCTTTTCACCATTGTAAGCCTTTGTTTTTTCATTTGTAAAGTGAAATAATGTATCTCTGACAGAGTTATTGTACAGATCCAATGAGATACCCATAAAGTGTTTAGCACAGGGCCTAGCACATAGTAAGTTCACCAGCCACCATAGTAGCTAACATTAGCATTAATTGTCAGCCTTGAGTTGACTGGTGAGGGCGAATCCACAAATGGTTGCAACAGAAATAAAGAAGAAACAGACAAAAAGGTTATTTCACATGTGTTTGTGTGTGTGTGTGTGTGTGTGTGTGAGTGAATGGGGGGCATTACACAAAAAACCCACTGGATGTGGATACTAACTAAATATGAGAGAAGGAAATAAAGGAGTTAAGTGCAAAGTCTCAAGCCTGGCGTATTTGCTTTCATGCACTGAGATACAGCCATGATGAGATTACACATGCAAGATCCTTAGGGAAAATGCCTGTGAGGGAGAGTGGGGCAGGAGTGGGAGGAGCCTGGGAGAGCCTCAGACCACATTGCAGATCTGATGCCTATAAGGGAGATAGAGAAGGGCATTTTGGGCTGCAGTGCAGGTCGTAAGGGAGTTTCTGCAAGGCCAATGGGGAGTCCTCAAGCCAGTCACCCATCAGAGGAAACCAGAGCCTGGCAAAGTTGAGTTTCCCTTCATATCTCTGCGGGGAGCCACTGGAAAGCCAGGTCTCTGTGCAAATGAGGTCGTGAACCCAGAATGCACTGGACCGGGCCTTCTGCCAACTCCATCCCTGTGATGGACACCTGGCAGGTTCATATACAGGGATTTGGGACACTGAGAAAAAGATGCAACCACAAACACGTGGAAACTTCTAATAACATAAAAGAATTGCATGAGCCTTTCTCACATTTCAAAGCCTTCAAATATATCTGAGTGCAGAAAGCCCGAAATGGAATGGACCAATGACTGACCAGCAACCTAGAACATGGTGAGAGGAAAAACACTGGAAGGAAAGGGTTGGTTAATCACCTCCTAGCAACCTTCATACACACAAAAAATGTACTCCTAGAAGGAACAAGTAGAGACTACTTCATGCTGAGAGTTATTTCCCAGGGCACCCCTACTGTAAAACAATTCCTTCTCCTGTTTTTTCCCATGCAGATAGTCCATCACGAGGAAATTCTTTGGGCCTCTCTGCTGGAACCATTGTTGGCATCATGATTGGAGTCCTGGCCACGGTGGCTTTGATGTAGCATCCCTGGTGTATTTTCTGTACTTCAGGAAGCCTTGCAGGTAGGATGGCCTTTCCTCTGTTAGGTTTACACCAGGCTAACTGCCTCGCTCTGGAGAGGGAAAGAATTTCTTCACCTGTCTCTGGGCCTGCATCTATCTCCTCCTCCTCCCCCTGAACTCCTGCTCCTCAGCACTAACTCCTGCAGATCTCTTCTCCCCTGGTCTTCATGCTCCCTGCACCCCACCGTCTCCTGGACATGGCTATTCCCCAGCCCTTGCTCATTTCTTCCCCATTCAGCACATTGTCAGAGCCTCTCAATCCTTTTGTATGATCTCCCACTGACTTCGTTCTCTCCATTTCCATAAACCTAACTAATCCAGACCCTCAACAACTGCTCCAGCACTGCATGACTTCCTGTCTCCAGTCTTTCTGAATCCTCCTTGCATACCACTGCCTCACTACCTTCCTGAGAACTAGTTCACTCTCCTACTCAGAATCCATAGTGGCCCACTCTGGACTACTCAATAGGTTTCTCTCTTTATCAATCCTTCTTACTTCTTTACCACTAAGCCTTAGTATAATTCCCCATCCTCCTTAGATCTGTCTCCCTACACAGCCCCGCCCCTTCAACCCATACACACATAGAATTCTTAGTCTCCATGCTATGCCTAAACCACTCCAAATCGCTTCAACCCCTCTCCACTATCTGAAAGTGAGTTACCCACACCTTCATCACAACAAGCAATCTCTGACCTCATGGAGGACAAAGGCTGTAGCATAAACTGTGACCCTCACACTCAGTACACAACCTGCCTGTGGCTCAAATCTTTTGCTGATGACTAATTCATGTGTTTTTCATTTACAAACTTGATGTCCCTCAGGGAAAATAACGCCTAACACCAAAGAGAATATCTGAAAAGCTCCTATTCATAATTTTCAAATAATTATCATACAAAAATAGAAAAGGATAAATGCCACAAGAAGACAGAAAAATCTATTGGGAAACATGGCTACACATACAAATCACTGGGAAACATTTTAAACGATCAACTGATGCTCAGGTCCAACCCACAAATTCCAACTTAAGTGGACCACAGTGGGACCTTGGCATTGAGAATTTTTAAACCTTCTCAGATGCTGCCAACATGTAGCCAAGATGGAGACCCTGCTATTAAAGGTAGGACCAGGGCCTAAATCAGTGGTTTTTAGCTAGGGGTATGCATCAGAATTACCTAGGGAACTTTTTCAACATATAGGAGCCTATACTTTGATGGACCTATTCATTAATGAGCTCCACCCTGAACTCAGTAATCCAATTAAGAAACAAGCTAATTTGAAAAGCCACCTCATTTCATATGTTAAATTACATGGGAAGAATGTCAAATAATATGGATGTTAAACCTTCTCTAGTTATTATATTACATGGCTATGATACAAAGGTTCGAAAATCATATGAGATTTCCAGATATCTAGATATGTTATCAGTCCATAATGTATATACCCCAGAGAAATATCAATTTCTTGGTGACTGTGTCATTATGATAATGAACTTCCCATCCAGATTTTTAGCCATACAATTTTAAGTCTTTCCCATACCGACCATTGTTATGCTTTGATCCTTTAAAAACATTTGAAAATCAAGGTACGGTCCAAAATGCTTCTTTTTCAAGGAGATTGCAGAAAAGACTCTGAAAGTGTCCTGAATACAGTTTTATGATAACTTTAAGATTATACTATTGGACTGCCTAGGAATTTCCAAAACTTTAATGGACTTTAACTTCCTGAAGTTGCTAACCAAGATCAAGCAGGGCCAGGAACGGGGCTCACGCCTGTAATCCTAGCACTTGGGAGGCTGAGGCGGGTGGGTTGCTCGAGGGTCAGGAGTTCGAAACCAATCTGAGCAAGAGTGAGACCCCGTCTCTACTTAAACAGAAAGAAATTAATTGGCCAAATAACTATTATATAGAAAATTTAGCCGGGCATGTTAGCGCATGCCTGTAGTCCCAGCTACTCAGAGGCTGAGGCAGCAGGATTGCCTGAGCCCAGGAGTCTGAGGTTGCGTGTGAGCTAGGCTGAGCCACAGCACTCCACTCTAGCCTGGGCAACAGGCGACTCTGTCTGAAAAAAAAAAAAAGATCAAGCAGGGAAAAAATTAATTACATGGGACAAAATGAACTAACGAGCACACTGTTGGTATTACTTTTTATTTGGAATTTTGCTCGTTCTTTAAATGTTTTGTTTTCCAGATTTAAGGAAACCTTTTATTCTTTTCAGCTATTTATACCTTACAGCTATCTGGTAAAGTACACTTTAGGAAAATATAAGAATCATTTACTTTTCTCCCTTCACTGGTCCCCCCAGAATTGGAAACTATTCTGAAAGTATTCATATTTTATGGTAATATACTTATTTACATACATTCAATATGAATCTGCTCTCTTTGTAACAGGATACATTTGAAAATATTGGTTTAAGGCACCAAGACTTTGACTGGGATGTCGTAACTAGAATGTACCTAGAATGCACCCATAGGCGCTGCACGCAAAGTCTGAAGTCTACCTAGTTTGGCTTCCTAGTCTTCAGAGGTTTTTCAAAAGTTTACTCTGAGACATCTATCAAAAGTTCCAGCGAAGCAAACTTGAAAAGAACCTATGTGGTCAATGGCTATTCTTGCTCCATTTACGTAAATAACCAGGCCAAGTTCAATGAGACTAAACCTATTTTTCAAACAAATTAGTCTTACTCTGATTACCTCTGGTAGAAATAGGGATGACCATACAGAGAAAAATTATGTTTCAAAACAAAAATTACATGGCCGGGCCCGGTGGCTCACGCCTGTAATCCTAGCACTCTGGGAGGCCGAGGCGGGTGGATCGCTCGAGGTCAGGAGTTCAAAACCAGCCTGAGCAAGAGCGAGACCCCGTCTCTACTATAAATAGAAAGAAATTAATTGGCCAACTAATATATATAGAAAAAATTAGCCAGGCATGGTGGCACATGCCTGTGGTCCCAGCTACTCGGGAGGCTGAGGCAGGAGGATTGCTTGACCCCAGGAGTTTGAGGTTGCTGTGAGCGAGGCTGACGCCATGGCACTCATTCTAGCCTGGGCAACAAAGTGAGACTCTGTCTCAAAAAAAAAATAAAAAAAAATTACAGTACACCTGTTATTCAATTGTAGCACTGTTCATTGTTTTTGAGTTGTTATTATCTACCTGTAGACTGGATCCCTAACTCTTCTAGTTCCTCCAATCTAATTTTCTCCCATGGAATCAGTAAGAACAAGAACTGCCATGTTCCTGAAGCCCTAGAAGTCAGAGCTGGACAGATCAGTGTAAATTTCCAGGCACAACTTTTGCGCGTGGTGTGTGGGCCACTCAGAAAGTTCACAGAATATGCAATACCATAACTAGAGACACACAACATGCAAGCCAGGACAAGAATCAATGACTTCACACTGTGGACACAAGATTCCCCGTGATAATGATACTGTTACTACTCTTAATATTTCCCTGCTCATGCCCACCTCTTTCATTGGGCAAGATAACACTGAAATTATAATTTCATAACCAGTAGCTTGTGCAGGTCACTTGGGGGAGTCTTGGATCTGTCATGTCATCATGGCAAACCCAAATCTTTACATGGCCTAAGCGATCCTCTATTCCACTTAGCAAGCAACCTTAGCAGCATCCCTAACACAGCTGCTTATTCAAATTGAACTAGGGGGCCCTGTTGCAGTCAGACTTCTAGACCTACTTGTTTTCCCTGTTTTAACTTAACGCAGCCACGAGATGCTACATGATAGAGCTGCTACCTATAAGCTAAACTGACAGGGGTCTGTGCGGCTCCCGACATTTCTTGATACACATCAGGTATTAAAGAGATTCAACTGCAAAAATTAACAAAAGTGCTACTTGGTTAAAATGGGTAGACCCCTCATCTGGAGGGTTCTTTGATCTATTGTCCTTTAGTTGGTTTGGCTCACAGGGATCCTGCCTAAGGAGCATCCTCCAAACTCTTGGTGTCACCCTCCTGATGGTTGTAATAGTCTTCTCCCTGTTGTGTTGTATTCTCTAAAGGTTTTACATGTTCACATGCAGCCATCCTTCAAAGATCAAGTGTTCTCTCTTCGGCCGGAACAACAGAAACTCAAGGAAATGTGTGACTGGGAGGACACCATAACCGACCAAGGATGCCTTGTTACTGGGATCCCAAAGTGAGGACAACTGAGAGTAGCCCCACTGCCTTATGTTTTGGTCACACTCTCTCCTCCGTGAGAGCCTACTGGCTCCAAAACAGAGTCACTCATGCTAAATGCCACGTACTCAAACTGAAACTCAAGGAAACAGAAAGAACCAAAAACAGAGAGCAGTTTTTCCTAAAAAGAGGAGATTCCAGTCTGAATCAGCATAATCGGGCAGATCCCTTTGCTTTCACTCTTACCAATAAGGAACCTGAAGTAACTTGATTTTAACAATGAGTTTTCTCTTGTTCTGTTTCCTCCTTCTCATTTCATAAAACCTGCTGTTCTGCTATTGTGTTCCCCAGTGGGAGCTATGATTGTAACTTCTGCAATAGAAGCTGCCCCACTCATGAATCACAAATAAAAGCCAATCACCTTGATAATTAAAATTGTTGTAATTTTTCTTTAGACACATCTCCAAAGCCAGTGATGGCCAGTGGAGTCCTTGTCACTTCACATGATCCTGACCCTGGCTCTCCTACCTCCCTCTTTCACTTACCAGTATCCTTCTGATTTCAGGGGGTCACCCAGACAATCCAGAATCATCTTCCCATCTCAGGATCCTTAAGTTCATCACATCTGTAAAATTGTTTTTACCAAATAAAGTAACATCCAAGGACGTGGATGTTTGCAAATGCAGACCTGATTGGTGCAAAGCAGGAGCACGAACCTGCTGGAATCTGGCCTCACGGACCTCATGTGTTGGGCAGATGGGATAGGAATATGACAAGTCAAATTTCTTCCATATCTCAAGAGTACTATTAATACTAAGGATCTAAGACCAATTGCTGGGAGCAATATTTCTCTACAGAGCACAATGAGGTCTTGGAGCAAGCCCTGAAGTCCAGCAGGTCATAGGGAAGTCTAAGGTGTCTCAACAATAATAAGAAGAGAAAGATTCCAAATCAGGAGAAGTGATATGTTTGATGTTAGTAAATTTAGAAAGAGCCCCATGTCCCTAATTCCTGTGGAGACTTAAGCAAAATGGGGAGGAGCCTGACAAGGCATGTGAAATGCTTTCTTTCTTATTTCATCCTTCTTCAATCTTTCTCTATACATCTTGTAAATAAGAAGGATACAGAGACATAAAATTATGACTTGGGGCACAAGAGGGGTTTCCTTTAGCAAGATGAAAGCTCTTCTTGAACAAGATGAGTGCTTTCTTTGGGCAAGATCAATGCTGTTTGCAAGGCACCCTGAATCCTAGGCTTGGCTTTCCCCAAAACTATTAGACTCAAGGACACATTCCTTGACACCCCACCCCCCAGGAGACAATAACTGTGACAGAAGCCACACCCACTCTGGATATTCCTGCTGTTTGGTAAAGGTATTTTCCAGAATGTTGTGCATGAGCTCCTGCTCCCTAATCCTTCCACTTCTGGAAGTTAAGCCTCCCCCTTAACCATTTTCATCTCCTGCTGTCCTGCCAGGGGCTAACACACTTTTTTAGACCCCACCGGTCTCAATTCGTTGCCCCCAGGCTAGAGTTCCATGGCAATCCAACCTAGTTCACAGCAACCTCAAACAGCGCCTCAGCTAACCTCCGCTAGCCTCCCCACAGACATACAGCGCCATGTGCCCCCCCCGCCCAGCTTGTTTAAAAATATTTGTAGACGACAGGATCTCACATTGCCCCGAAGGCTAGTCTTGAACTTCTAGGCCCCGGCAAAGTGATCCACATCCTGTATGGGCCAAAAGTGCTGGGGATAACAGGTGCGCAACCACTGCTGGCCACTGCCCCTTAAGCACTATTTAAAACCTATGAACCAAAACCCCTGGGCAGTGCAAGACATTGATTTGTTGGCTACTTAAAAAAACCCAGGCATTGATGAATCAGGAATGGTGACTCCTAGTGAAACAGCATTCACATCGGCAGACTTAAGTCCAAGTGTGTGCTCAAAGTTAACATCGCCCACGGCCAACCCGGGCGCCTGGGGGTGACACACAACACAGTAACCTAGCTCTTGGAGGCGGAGGCGGGTGGATGACGTCCGAGGTGCAGAGTCAAAACCAGCTGAGCCAAGAGCGAGACCCGTCTCTACCTATAGATAGGAAGAAATTAATTGGCCAACTGATATATATAAACAAAATAGCCG